AATAGACGAGAAAAAAATAGAAGGAAGAAAAATTCATTAACGATAAGCGATTTTTATGTGGCACGAAATCAGCTTAATGAAAATTTGAAAGTTTGATTTGCCATAGTCGGCCTAATGCCTGAATTTGCTAAAAGTAGAACAACAAGGCCAAATATTAAAGGTTTGGAGAACAAATTTAAAGCTGGTTTTTGGTTAGCGCACATTCAGTTTGTCGAACACCGTTGTGGTGTATTCCGTCTTCGGTGCTACCGTATCCGACTGAACTGAACCAAAAGTTAGTCTTAGTCAACCAGTTACTGAATTGGTTGTTCGGTTGGGTTATTCCACTGATTATCCAACAAGATTTGTTTTGCTGTATATCAGTTTCAAGTAAAATATGAATTATTCAATTTATTCTTCTCTGTTCTTTTTTTTTTTTTTCAAGATTAGATGATCAATTTTAATAAAGTTTTTGAATTTTTCTTTTTTCGTATACTGACAGTTTTCTAACTTATTAAAGGTATACAGAACATCGAGAAGAATAATGTATCCAACAATTTTAGCTAAACATTATCAATTTATCAACGTCTGAAGACAATTGCTAAAGTTTTACTCAGATTCTTACTGTTGTTGTCATCGTTTATTATTCTATAATGTCGATAAGCAAATTGATGTTTCAAACTACAAATTCTTAGAACAACAAAAAATTTGTTGCTGAATTAATCTTTAATTATGTAACTGTATAATAAACCTTGATCAGTGAGCTATTGGTGGAAATCATCCAAGAAGCTTATCAAAAATTTTTTATATTTTAGATTTAAGACTATAGTTTAAATGTTCAGACGTAAAGTTCTATAAGAGAATAATCTTCTTACTTTTTTATAGTTTTTTATTTTTTTAAAAGTTATTTCTTTTCTACAGTATCGGCTAAATAAAACGAAGAAAGAAAACTTAATTCAGATAGGTTTTAAAGTTAAAACTTTCGAGTTTCATTCTACTCATTAGTTTTTTTCTGCTGTTTGTTTTGGTCTCGTTGTTATAGCCTCAATTATATATCGGTCAGAAACGCCTACACTAATGCTAAGAAACTGAAAAGTTGCATAAATGTTTTTGATTGAAAACTTGATAAGTATATAAAAGTAACAAATTGCTATCATTCTTTTCTGTCTTTTTGCTTCAATTGTTTTCATTTTCTGTTTTATTTTTATTACCTTTGTCAACAATAGTTATTTTTTTCATTTAGCAACAAAAAAGGCAAAAAAAAAAAAAAAAAAAAAGA